GTAGTTCATCTGTTTTTAAACAGCACCTTCATCCTCCCTGCAGCTTCAATGACTCAAACTTTTACTGAAAACCTGACAAGGTACAAGTGTTCTGCTAGTATTCTAGTACTGCTAAGGCTATGAGCAGGAACAGTATGGTCTAGGAAACTACTGCAACTAAATTCAAAAACTGAGATTCCAAAATACTATCTACATACAATACAATCACAGCAATCAAGAGTCATGTTTCTGTCAGAAAAAACTGTGGATAAAATAAAGATCCAAAATTTTTTTTACTACTAAAAGTTTGGCTACGTTTTTTCTATTTTTAATATATACAGGTATATATTGCATATACTGAATACTGATTATCTATTTGAATTTGCACACCATAGTTCAAAAGATTAATGACCAAATACAGAAAATAAAACTTATTAATGCAATAAGTTGTCTTTTCAAAGTTTATTTCTTCTAAGTTTCTTCCAAAATTTTAAAGAGTGACAGGCAGTGCTTATCTTCTTCAGTAGAGATTTTCAAACAGCCACCCTATTAAAGGCACAAATCCCAGCCTCCTTTGCAGCTAAATGAGGTCACCAAAGTTCTGACCAACAGGTAAATAAGTCATGTATGCAACTTTCAGGTTTTTCTTTAGAGGGAGAGGATGTGCCTTCCCCACATGTTGTTCCTGGACCATCGATGTGATGGCGAGCTACCTTGGACTATGCAGAAAACGGTGTCTTCTTAAACACAGGAAAGCCAGACAGAAGAAACCAAGGTGCCCTATACCATGGAGCCACCATATCAGCCCTGGACTGTTTACATGAGAGAGAAAAAAACTTCTTGTTTAAGCTGCTGTATTTAGTCAGAACAAAGACCCAATGTTGTGTTCTAACTAATACACATAGAAACTTTAAATTTATAATAAACATTAAATAATAGCTACTTAACCAACTCAGTAAAGCTGAAACTCTAAATATAAATTCTTGGGAAACCCCACTACTGAAATTGTTACTGTACCAACGTACATTTATATGACATTGTACAGTTTTGCAAGGCACATCATTACAGTATCTCATTTCACATTCTCAAAATCCAGGGCAGGGCAGCAGGTGCTATGCACATTTGGCAATATAAGACACTGAAGCTCTGAAGCTACTGCCCAAGACCGCACAATTAAGGAGGGGTGCTCCAGCGGGATTCAGCATATAGGTTCCATGTACCATCATTCCATTTACGTGGGCATTTGTCCACCCCTGCTATGCGTCAGGCCCTGCAGCTGCCAGCATGACCAGGAAAGAATTATTCCTGTCCAACTGGACCTTACAATCTAACAGAAAGACGGAGAGACTGACACTAAATTAATAAGAATATGTATGAATATATGTCAATAGTTAGCTATTTGCAGTAAGGCTTGTGGGAAAAAAAGGAGAGTCTTGTAAGAATGCATGGCCAAGGGACCTTAGCTAGAGTGGGAGTCTACAGAAGGCCCCTCTGAAGAAGTAGCATTTACGCTGAGACAGTAAGGATCAATATGAATAAGAGGAAAGGAGGGAAAAGAAGAGAAAAGATATTAGAAATGTATACAAGTTACCTCAATCTTCACAAGAACCCTATGTGGTAAGGACCATCCACCCCACTTTACTTCCCAAGAAGAAGAAACTAAAGCTTGGCAAAGTCCCTGGGCCTGGAGTTTACACTGCCAGAGCTGCTGAGAGCACCAATGTGCTACATTCTAGAGCTTCAGCCTGGCACCACCTCAAAGGCTGGTAACTTATGTGGCCTCCACTACCATCCATAACTAGGTATTAATCAGATGTTGGGTGAATGTCACACACAGTCTGAGCATCTTTTTACCCAAACATGTGCTAAGATGCCAATCTTAACCACAAGTATTCATAAAACTTGAAAAAAAATTGACTGTTGTCATTGGAAATTAGGGGGTTATTTAATGAGCAGGGCTGTTATTTAAGAGAGACGATACTGAAAACCAGTTTCATTCCATGTGAAACCACTTCACTAAGCCCCCCACCGCTAAAATCAATTTAAACAAGCATTTCAATTTAGGGGAGATAAACCTCAAAACAATTCAACAAGAGTTAAGAACACTTGAAACTATTATACACTATGCATTAAGTATGAGCGGGTCTTTAAACAAACAAAAAATATGTGTCTTTTCAAACTAACAGTAACACAAACTTTTAAAAATCACCTACTAGAAGAGTGAGTACACAGTTCTGGTGGAAGAATCAATTGCCAAGAAGCTAAATTAGTCCTAATTATTAGCAAAAAAGTAACCACAAAGAACATCATTTTAGATATTCATGTACTCTTAAGTTGCTATATCCGAAAAAGAATTTCAACTCATTACACAACTATGGAAGGAGGATTTCAAAGTAAAAGCCTAACTTTAAAAACATTTAGCTGGTTTATACAATGCAGTATTTCCAAATCATGTTGTTTTCATGTATCAAAAATGAAACTAAGGTTGCCGGTAGCCACTAGGTTAGGAAACAAGCCATGTCTTTAATTACCTAATGTGAACCTGAAATTAATTTAGTCATGGGAAGTCAATATTTCACTTTCAAATCACCAACAGTAAGCTTTACAGCTCTAGCTTAAAAGTAACACAGACATGAGTAAGATTTCAGAAGATTTCTTCATTTAGGGGCAAACAAGTGGAATTACTAATTTAAAATAATGATTTTTGCAAAAAACTAAACACAAGTTTTAGCCCCCCAAAAGTTTTTAATCCAAAATTGTGCAAGCCTTGGGTTATGACTTACTATGATTTCTCTGGCCATCAAAACACTGCCAAATGGTCAAAAAAACATACGGAAGAAGTCCTTTCAGAGGCATAGCTACTACATATACATGAGTCATGCAATTCATTTTGACAGGGCAAACTTAGTATCAAGGTGCAGATGACCACGTTTGATAGTTTCCAGTAATATCTTTACTTCTGAAATAGGCAAAACCACCAAAACTCTCAAGGTAAAGATTCTTAGCTCACAGTTTAAATTACTGTTTAAGAAGTACAACAAAATTTGTTAAGACTTACAAAAGAGCCAAGTTCTTTATACAGGAAGTTTTGGGGTTTTGCTGTGTTCAGATGGGTCAAATTTTTTATTGGGGGTTAAAAGAGAAATTGCTTGGGGTTGGGCTTGGGTGTAGGAAATGTGAAAGTTCTTTGAAGTAAGAGTTAATTCTAAAATCAAATCAAGAAAAACTGACACATACTGTATCAAATTCTAGGAAAAATCACAAATGAAGCCCCCTCTTCCATTAATTTTACTTTTAATGTCATATATAAGGCCATCCTTTCTCACTAATGTTACTTCTACCAATTTTCTTCCCATAATTAGATATTTGCCAGCCATGAACATGCTTGGGAAAATATCCTTGTCCAGTCTGAATATCTTTTTGTTTTGTTTTGTTTTCAAGTAGTACCCAAGATTTGACACAAATTTGCATTTTCTTTCTTCCTATAGTTTCGAAACAAAATGCATGCCAAAGGTCATTCTGTATCTTGTTGTAATAAGTTACCTTGAATTTTGCTTTTACAGATAAACAGTGAGCACTCTAAAAACCGATGTAAATTCTTTAAATACCAGTTGTTGCGCTTACCTCTTCCCACCCCCTATCTTTAGGACAAGAACACAATAACGCTCCATAAATCAAGCTAGGGGCAGCTATCAGATAATAGTCTAAAGAGGGGAAAAAAATTCTAACCAGGGTCTTTTTTTTTTTTACTACCCATATTCCCAAATTAAGAGTTAAAATGGAATGTCTTCATTTACTTTGAGTTTGTGTCCCTGAAAGACTGGACTAGCTCATTAATTTCTGAATCCGGAGGAAACAAGAATTTTGTGTTTAAGTTTATAATAGGTCCCCCAAAAATATGTTTAAAATGTTTTAGAAATGATCTTACACCGAATCCAAATTCCTAACAATAACAAAGCTCTCACGATATCATTTATCTCCCACCCTTACTAATGATCATTCATTCATTTAAGTCTATTCCTTCAAATCTAAAATCATTTTCAAGGAGTGTGCATTCACGTTAGAAACACAAGAACAACCCTTCCTTCTGGAGTAATTAATTTATGAGCCTATGTGCCTCTTACTAACTTTTTATACTGAGTGTCACAATAGAACGTGGTATAGATATTGACTCAAGAGTCCTCAACTTTCTGGCAAGGTCTGAAGTCTAAATCAATTTGGACAGCCACCATAAATACTGCTCCTATCTCAAGGCAAATCTTCCAAAAGCACTGGGGTACTTTTAAGCGTAAGTCATATGTATATTAAAAATCTTAACTATAACTGAATGAACTTTTTTCTTAACCGGTGTTTCTCTGAAACTGTCTTCTCCAATTTAAAATCTCAACACATGAGATTTTAGTTCTAGTCTCACATTTATAGTCTACCTGAAAAATAATATTTTCTCCAAGTAACTAAACAATCAAGATATAAGAAATTTAAGAAAACTAAACCTGAAGGTAATTCCACTGAACTATTAAAACGCCCCAAAATCAGAATATTAACTACATCTGTTCTTAAACACTTCCTATATGTAACGTGCAAGAAGTCACAAAAGAAATCAATGTATTCAAAGATAAAAAAGATTGAAAATAACTTCATGCAAAACTTTATGACTCATCAATACTTAAATGATGCCTATAATTGTGAAGAACAAAACGCACCAATTAATATTTTTTAGTTTCATTTAAAAATTTCCTAGTTTTCGCTGGGAGGGCAGACGGTGGGGACACGGGACCCACAAGTTACATTAAAAAGGACTAATCTTTCCTTTCCACTCCCACAAACCACAAATTCCATGCTAAACACTATGCACACACTCCCTAGGTTAGAACCCTGAGTCATTACACACAGATAGCTCCAAAATCTGCCGGTATTTCTAATAGTGAGTTATAACCTAGTGATTAAGATCCCAGGCTGGCTACAGATCCTGGCTCCTGGAGTCCCAGCTGTATGACCTTGGATGAGTCACAGCTCAGGTTCCTCATCTGTGAAATGGGTAACAGTTTCTACCGGTAGGAAAAGCGAGTTGATACACGTAAAGCCCTGAGAAGAGTGCCTGGAACTCTTAGCTCTGATCTTTAAAATCAGTGTGAAAACAATGTTCTAATATGTATTTTCTGACAACTTGAGCAGAATTCAAGAACGAACTGGTGCTGGCATTCAAGTTCCGCACCTAGATTACAAGAGTCATACAATCTAAGGTTGGAGGAAAGACACATAAACAGTCCCTCACTAATTTTGCCATTTTTAACTATTTCAGACAAGGGAGGAGCCTCTAGCCAAGTGTTAAGGTACTCGGCAGCTTCAGGGGACTAAGCGACGGTGGGTTTGCGCCTATAAACAAACTGATGAAGTTTCGTTGCAATACCCAGGTATCGATTATAATTTACGCATTCTCAGCCCCCAACTCCTCAGGCTGATAAGCAGGTCATCACTCCATCTCGAGTGGCCGGGGTCACTAGCACTCAGGGCACAACTTCAGCGCACGCCCAAGGCCCTCGCTCCAGCACACACTCCGAAGGGCCGCTGAGAGACCCGGCCCCCGACCTTCCCCAGCGCCTCGCCCAGCAGCCAGCCCCGTTTCCTTAACCCGTGCATTGTCCTTGCGGAGCGCCCCGGCGGTTCCCACACTGGTGGGGACCGAGAGGAGGGACGAGGGAGGAGCTGGGGGAAGAGGATGAGGAGGAGGAGGAAGACAACCTCCTCCCCTTCGCCCGGGCGACCAGCGAAGGTCTGGCGCTTTCTCCGGCCGCGAGCCCCGACTCCCGGGAGGCCGCGGCCCCCGACCCCACCCGCCGCAACTTTCCCGCGGATCGCGCCCGCCTCCCCTCCGGGACCGGCCTGCCGGGCTCCCTCCCCTGGCGCCGGCCGCGACACCGCGGCGCCTCCTCCCAAAATGGCAGGTCCCTCCCTCCGCCCGGCCGGCCTCGGCGCGGGCCCGGCTGCAGGCCGCGGGGGGAGCCGGGCGCCAGGCCGGGCGGCGCCGGGCCGGACACTCACCGGGACGATGGCGGGGCGCTCGCGCCGCTCCCTCCGGTGAGTCTCAGCCTCGGCTCCCGCCGCTGCGCTCCCGCCGCGGCCTCCGCAGCCAGCGCCGCCCCGGCCGCCTCTCTCCGCCCCCCGGCGCTCCCGGCTCCGGGCCGAGCCGCCGCCTTCTCAGTCTGTGTGCGGCTCGCGGTTCCAGCGGCGCCCGGGGCCGGGGAGGCGACAGCCCCTCCCGGCAAATACCGCAGTCCCCGGGCCCCGGCTCCCGGCGGCCCGGCCCGGCGTACGGCGGCGGCGAGGCCGGGCGCTGAGTCGCGGCCGCTCCCGGCGGCTTCTTCCCGGGGAGGATTTTGTAAATCTCACAAAATGGCGCGCGCTCCAAACCTGCGCAGCGAGAAGCGCCGGGCCGAGCGGCGGCGGCGGCGGCTCCTCCGCCAGGAGCCCGAGCCGCCCGCCCCCGAGTCCCCGCACAGACAGGCACACTCACGCGCGCACGCACACTCGCCCTCGCACACGCTCGCTCTCACACTCACACCGGTCCCGCCCGCTCGCCGGCGGCAGCGGCACCAACAGCAGCAGCAGGAACAGCAGCGGCGGCGGCGGCGGCGGCGCCCGCACCCCCCGCTCGAGGTGTCCACTCCCCGAGCCCGACCTGGGCCGCGATCAGCAGCAGCGACGACAGCAGTCTCCCCGGGTCCCCCCGCCGCTCTTGCCGCCGCCACCCCCGCCTCACTCCAATGGGGCTTTTTATTATTATTCGGGCGGGAAGCGAAAGGGTTTAAAAAAAAACTAACCAACAAAATGGCGACGGACCGACCCGGTCGCTATAGCAACTGTCAATCAAAACGCAAAACCCCGGCTGACGTGCTGACGTCCTCCTGCCGCCCCCCGGCCCCAAGCCGTTGGGCGGGGCCTGTTGCTCGGGCAACGGCAGATTCCGCTCCCTCCTTTCCGTCTCCCCCTCCGGCCCCAACCAACCACCCAACCCCCCTCAGGTCACGTGAAGGATAAATTCGGAGCTCGGGCCCGCTACGAGTGTCAGAGGAGGGCGCGTGATTCGGTCGGGGGAGGGGACGAGGGGGACGGCCGGGCAGGGGAAGGGGAAAGGGAAGGGGGCGAGGCGGCGGCCCGGCTTGTGCACGAGCGCCCGCCGCCGGACCGCGCCCCGCCCCGCGCCCGCGCCTACTGCGGTCCGGGGAGCGCGCGCAGCCCTCGCGCCTCCCGCCCCAGGAGCCCGGCGCTTCCGCGTAGTGCGCCCGCAGCCCCGCCCGCGCCGGGGCAGGGGGCTGGGCTCCGCGGCCGTGCGGGGCCCGGAAAGCCCCCCCCACCGGCCCCGCACGCCCGGGCCCGGGGCCCTCACCTTCATCCCGGGGAGCGCGCCGGCGTGTGAAAGCCGCCCGGGAGCGCACGTCCGCGCGGTTAAACTGTTCTTCGAAGGGCTCGCATGCCCCGCTTGCCGGAAAATGCCCACGGAGGCTGCGGCGGGGGGTGGGGAAGAGGCCGCCTCCGCGTTTCAGACATCTCAGGAATTCCGGACGTTTCGCCCGAATCCGGGATGCCCCTGTGCCTGACACCTTGGTTAAATCCTGCCTCTCGGGTTTTGTAGCATGCGACGCCAGCGTTCAGAAATTATGGACGGAGCCATCATGAAAACTTTCAGGCTGTGCACGCTCTCCCAGGCATTCCCACCAATTTCAAACCCCTCCCCACCTTCGTGGGCGCAGCCTGCCTTCCTCATGGGAATGCCCCTTAAATTAATGCTGTTGAGCTATTGCTGTATCCTTGTCGCACCCTGTTTATCTCTTTCATGCACCGTCTCAGCTTTCCAGATTCTCAATTTGCCCACAACTTTTTAATACTCTGGCTTTCGTTTTTGTGTCTACCCCCTCTGCCTGGCTAAATACTGATAGGTGTGCTCTCCTGGCATTAAACCCTAGGTGTGCTGGTAGCCGTGCTCTGCTGGCTGCTTTGTAATTAGTAGACAGCCGCTAGTTTAAAATTGTATTTTGTACTAATCATAATAAAACGGCACTTAATAAATATTAACGGCAGAAAGGATACTACAGATACTTAAACGCCAAGTCGCTGAATTATTGATTGATTTCTAAGCTTGATTTTGCCATCATATGATGGAAAATTTTTTTCTTTAATCAGTAGCAATTTTTTCTTGTCAATGTTTCTTAAGCTTATTCACAATATAGTGCTTACAAACACAGTAGCAAGAGATACAACCTTCTTGGTAGGTGTAAAGGGAAACAACCTTGTGATAAATATTGGTCTCTATCCTGTGTCACTGGAGGAGACACTTGCTTTAAATAATTTCCAACAAATGTTTCCCTCCTACAGTTAATAGAACAGGTATACTAAGACAACCGGTCAGATTAGCACAGGCCCTGCAAGAAATCAAACTGAACTTAAAACAACTTAGGCAAAAAGAAGTAACCAGGTAAAAAGTTTACTTCAGACTGATTTTCCATGGTATCAAAAGTGGCCGTGACTGTCAAAAGCTCTTTTGAACTGCTGAGTTTTTTCAGAATGGCCCTTCTGATGTATTTAAAGTCCATGTTGAACTTCATTGTGTTGAAGGATGGCCAGGAGTGTCCCTATTGAGGTGAGAGGTGGCTACCCTGATAACTACTTCTGCCTGTAAGACCTGCTCCTTCCTCCTGCCTTTCTTCTCCCTGCTCTCCACCCCACCCCACCCCACTCCCAACAGTTTCACTTCTATCAGAACACTTAAGTATTTGCAACCTTTCACGCTAAATTCGAGTTAAATTTTTATTGCTGGTAATGAAAGAAACTTTCATAATTAATCTTCTAAGTAAACTGGAAAGAATTATGTCGATGTCTCAAAAACTGCCCTTGTCTTCACCCAAATCAAGCTGGAAGGTTATCAGGATGGGGCAGAATTTTTAGTTTCTATAATGCAATAACAGAAGGTATTGCTAGTTTCCATATCTAGAAGGATGCACTCTTCTCCCGCCCCCCGACCAATGATAGCCTTACAAAACATTGATCAATGAACTGTCATATCCAGGTTGGAATGCTGTAACATAGTTTTATATAGGCTTCAGCTAAAAAGTAACCTGTAAATTATGCTGGCTCCAAACAAGTGAATACATGTAGGCAGGAAGGACTCTGGTAGGAAAACCAGTTTAATGTTGACCAGGTTTAGTGATTAAATCTTTGCTGTCATCTGACAATCTACTGACAGATGTATTACAGATATATCTATTCACAGACAGATGTATTACAGATAGATGTATTCACAAAGGTTAACCTCTAAATGCAAAGACACCACCACCCCCACAACTCACAGATACCAGCCCCCGCTTATCCATGACATTCTAGGGTTTTGCCAATCCTCACAGCAATATTATGTCTCCATTGTACAGATGAGAAAACAAATCCTGAGTAATTAAACAACTTTCCCAAGATCATGCCACCAGTAAGTAGTGAAGCCAACATTCAAACCCAGGCTGTGACCACCAAGTCCGTCCTCTTTCCGCCACACCAAGGTGATCCAAGATCATTTGGAGATTGGAAGAAAAGGTCATTAGAGTGAGCCCTAATCCAAAATGACTTGTAAAATGGGGAAATTTGGACAAACACATGCACACAACCAGGAAAGACCCTCACAATGTGAACATCATCTACAGGACAAGGAACACCTGAGACGACCAGGAGTTGGGAGAGACGTTTAGAACAGATTCTCCCTCACAGCTCTCAGAAGGAACTAACCCCCCCAACACCTTGATTCCTGACTTCTGACCTCTAGAACTGAGACAATACATCTGTTGTGTAAGCCACCTGGTTTTCGGTACTTTGTTTTGGCAGCCCTAGCAAACTAACACACAGGTGCTGGGTATCTTTGCTCCTTTCCACATCCGCTAATTCTTGCAGATACACTATCCTAAGCCCAAAAGTTCAGTAGTTGGAAACTTGCTGGGAGTTATAACCAGAACATTCCAAGGACAAACAAACTAACCAATATTCCTTTGCCCCTGCCACCAGATGAGAAGGTGATCAATTTACAATTTGTCCCTGGACAATGGCATGGCCAGAATCTGACACCCCTAGTCATCTTACAGACTTCTGAGTGAAGGTCCATGATTGCCCACCCACGCCCCACACAAGTTCTATTGAGTGTTCTGATTTTAAAAGTAATTAATGTGTATCAAATGGATTAAAAAGAAACAAAATAAATAAAAGCAAGAGAGGAGCCTTATTTAAACTGATAATGACAGTATGCCCTGTACCAAGAAGTTAATACTTCTCTACACCTGAGGCCCAAAAACAAAAAAGAAAAGAAACACATGGTCATTACAAACAGTTTAACAATATGGGAAACAATAAAGAGATAACTATAAATATGTTCATCGTTATTACCCTAAGCCTTATTAATACCTTCATGTTGGCTTATATATAGTCCCAGACTTTCCTAGGGAGACATGACTGCATACACACACATATAACACTATAGGTACATTTCATGCTTTTTTTACTGACAATCACATTAGGCACACGTTATTGTGTTGATCAACTGAAATTGAGATGATTATTTAAAGAGCTGCAAGTATACCATCAGTTGAACAGGGCATAATTCATTTAACTGCTCCTCTATTTTTAAGGAAGTTTTTTTATTATAAATAAAGTTGCATAAACATCATATATCTACATTTTACACACCTGTCCAGTAATTTCCTTAGGATAAAGGCATGCATCCTTAAAAATCTTTGGTACATGTTGCCAAAATATCACTTGGAAATGATTTCACCAGTTTGCATTCCTAAGAGTAATATGGGAGAATGGCTTTTTCCCATACTCTACCACACTCTCTTGATTTGATTTGCATTTCTTTGACCACTTAATGTCTTCTTTTTTATATATATTTGTAGGCTATTTATGTCCTGTCTGTATATTCCATGCTCGTTTGGGGGGCTGGGCAAGGTGTCATCTTTTTACTGATTTGTTTTTCTTTTATTTTACTGCAAAAGAAAAAAAGGGAAGAAAGTGAAGAAAACTGTAAGGCATATGGCTAGTGAATGAGATGGACACCAGCCATCCATCACCCCAGTTTAGCTGTGGCCATCTCTGTTCCTAATCCTCCCGCAAGGGGATGTAGCCCAGCTGTCTTCCCTGCCCTCACCCACCTCCTCCTGACCAGGCACCTGGGCTAAGTGCTCTACTACCACACTTCCGGCGTCATCAGCTTGCTTACAAGGTGGCTTATGCCAAGATGTGTTTCTAATGGTGCCATTTTTAAAAAGGCCAACATTCATTACTTTTCTATCATGTGAGAATGTTCACCAATATCATTTCATGAATTATCATTAACATTTTCTTTTCCTGTGACATCAAGATAATGGTTAAATAGAAAATGTGAAATTGTTAAAGTGCATATTTCACACTGTTTCACAATATCTTGAAACAGTATTTTGCAACATTTTGGCAGGACTTGAGAAGAAACACACCTTAATATATCCATTTGTACATTATAACAACTTCCTCGAAATGAACAGGTCGAGAAAAAATGCCCTAAAGAAACTGTAAAAAACAATTAAGTACAAGGAATTAAAAATTAGGTACAGAAATCTACAAAGTTCACTTACTTCCGTGGTTCATTAGCTCAAAAGCCCTTGAGAGGTTGGCTTATTTCCTTGGCTTTTTAATGTAGGTATCTAATGGACATCACTTAATAGTCCCACCATGTTTATTGATATGTTCATTTCTATCAAAACCAACAGTTTTCTTGTTTTGGTTCAGTTCAGAACAAAAGATACTTCTGTGGTTATAGCAGTGTTATAACTTCAGTATGTTGTATTTGTATGCCGTTTTTTAAACTGTAAGTGCTCTTGGACAAGGATCCTATATTTTCATCTTTTATCAGCATCATATCTGGCCTACTATAAATACTGTTTTGTGTTTTTAAATGAATGATGAGCTCCTGCTATTTTCTTCCTATTTTCCTCCATCCTATATGAGATTATTGGCAATCATAAAACTTTAGGGGAAACTATCTGGTGATTTGTACAGAAGTGATCTTAAAATGGGTGGAACTTCTCTAGCGCCAGAGGAAAGATTGTTGCAGTCAGCAAGGCCAAAGGAAGCCAGTTCCACTGATGAGATACAGTAATGTCAGTGATTACCATGTAGCTAGTTCTGTTACAGAGGTATATCTCAAACAGTGTTCTTGTGCAGTTTGCAGCTCACCCCAGGTATTTACAGTTTAAGAAACTACAGGTTTGGGCATTGTCACTGAACAGAGGCCTGGGCAGGACCTCTGTGTGGCCAAGTATTTTAACTTCTATATCCGAGACATAAAAATAATAGCCTTCTACCTATAGGCACTATGTTAAAAAGAAAAATACCAGCCCAACATGGGGTTACTTCTGATAGGCCAAGTCACCAAACTGGGGTTTAATACCTAACCTAATTGCAATTTCAACTTCCCCCAGAAATATACTCAGTCAGGAATTTTCCGGTCAGCACTGATAAGATAGTATGTCACATGTACCCTCTCCATTCCCGAAAGGAATCCACCTAAGACCCTTCCATCCCCGAAGGAGGTAAGCTGGCCGAAATACTTTTTTCTGTTTGTGACTTCCTTGTCCTGCCTTTATAAAACCTCTCCCTTTGTATGGCCCTTCAGAGTATCTCTCTACTTACTAGATGAGATGCTGCCTGCTTCATGAGTCATTTACTAAAGACTCTTAGATCTTAAAATTTACTTGATTGAATTTTGTTTCTTAACACAACAGTTAGCAACTTAAGGGGAAGGGTCAAATAACCAAAAGTCCATTTGTGAAGGACAGCAAACACGTCTGTCCATTCCAGACTTTCAAAGGCAAAAATTATTTATAACATTTCCTTTTTAAATATATAACATGAAGAATATTAAGAATAAGACAAAAAGAGCAACTAATCCCATTGCCCAGATAATGACTTTGTTTTTAAAATAAAAACAATTCAAGTGCATGGATTGAAAATCTACAGAGCAGATAAACATAAAATAAAGAGTAAAAGCCCCCCTCCTCCACCCCAGCCTCCCTGCCTCCTTTCTCCTTTGCCCTCCCCCCTGAGGATGCAGGGACTCTTTATCAAATTCAGCATCACATCATCACCTGCTGAAAAATCTACAGGACTCTCACTGCGTGGGGACAGCATCCTACTCATCAGTCTGTCATCCAGTCCCTTCATGGTCTGACCCATCAGGCTTTCTAGGCAGAACTCCCCCAGTTAAGGCCCTCGGAACATTCGGGGTTTCTTCCCAACTGCTGTTCCCGCCCCCGGAAGGCTTCATCCCTCCTCGAGGCTTCAGTCTCCCTGCCACTTCACAGCAGATTGCCTTTTGCATCTGCCAGGAGAAAAGCAAGCTCCTCGAGGCCAGAGAACTGACTCTCTTGGCTTTTATTGACCCCAATGCTTGCCATATACTGGGTACCAAAAAATATTTCCCAGAGAATGGAGCCACCATAGAAATCCCAAACAGCAAGAACTGGCTCCAGGAGGCCAGCAGCTAAAACCAGGAAACGGTTAAAAGCAAGAGAAATACACTCTTCTCAGGGCTTGAAAGGGGGCGGCCATCTGCTTCCAGCCTCCCTCTCCCTCCCACCCTGGATGCAGGCTTCCTGCAGACTGGGAGGCCGCCTGCCGGGGTGGGTTGCAAACCCAGAGGAAGGGCTACAGGGGCCTTGGTGGAGTAGTGAGTGAGGGTGCCTTTCTCTAGGGGGTGGGGAATTGTGGTAGGACCCTCTGAATCGCTTTGGCTAGGAAGGCCAGGTGGGGAGGTGCCCCCAGAGCCCAGCAGGGAGCTGGTTACCTGAAGATGGTGCTACACCCCTCCTGTAGCCAAAAGGGCTCCTTGATGTTTCCTCCTAGATTGTCTAGCCCAAAAGGGCTGCGCTGAACGCAAGGATTCAGCGTGGATGCTGGCAACAAGAGTAAATTCCTGGGCTGTGTGCTTTCCAGCCAGGCAGATAGAGTGGAGAGCAGATGCCCAATATTCCAGGGTCCTGAGTTGTCATGGTCGAAGGTATATAGGAGATAGAGGGCCAATTTTTGAGGCATATTAATTCAGACTCTTTAGGAATGATGCCCTGTCCTGAGCAGAGGGCACTTGAGACATCACAAAATCATAGGATGTTAGAGTGGGAAGGAATTCCACCTTTACTTGTCAGAACCCTAATCATGAAGCTGCTGCTGTGGGGTAGCAGTGACACACAAGTGACATTACTTGCTAACTGTTCGGTGACATTCTGTTCACATTAGTCACTGGGGACACTTTCATTTTCTTGCAGTGGAGCAGGGCATGGGCAATGTCCTGTGAGTCTGGACTTTCTAGAAGGGATGGGTGACCTTAATAGTCATAATAGCAACTGGAAAAAAGAGTAGTTATAGGGACAGAGAAGGTGGGGGTGTATCTAGTCTCAACTACCTCCTAGCTGGAACCGTCTGGGCAGTTTACTTAACCTCTCTGCATCTGTCTCACCATCTCAAAAGAGGATTCTTTATCATCTTTATGAACTGTAAATCATTATATAAATATTAGGCCCTGATATAAATAGTAAGAAGACTACATTCAAATTTTCACTTTTGAAGACTTACCCAAGACCCTTCCCCTTCAAAGAAAATAAACAAATGACTCCTTCCACGTTCTCCACCACTCCAGTCTTTCTACTGTAAATGTGTTTAGCATGTTATTTTCTTGGAGGTGATTTTAAACCTCCATTTAGGCATCTTCCCAAGCTGAAAAGTTACTGCGTCCTGAACTGCCTACACCTTCTTTGGCTGCCCTTAACCAAATCCTTCTTTCCACACCATGAACTGATCTCTGCAGTTTCTGCCCACTTTTTCTAAATCTTCCCTTTCGGGATGACACAGACCAAGACTTCCTCCTCTTACAAAATGCCAGTCTTCGAATGTTGGAAGAAAGCTGATTTTCCCACCTGGGCCTCATCTTTCCCTTTTCTCTCAACACTTGTCATCCACCATGTTCCTCCAGGCCAACCCCTCCACCTTCCTGTGACTCCCTTCAATGACATCCTTGAGCTGACACATTGCTAACGACCTAAATGTAAGACTCAATTTAAAAATGTGGCATATCCAGCATTATACTGAACAGCGAGAAGCTGAAAGCATTTCCACTGAGATCGGGAACCAGACAGAGATGCCCACTCTCCCCACTGTTATTTAACATAGTACTGGAGGTCCTAGCCACGGCAATCAGACAAAACAAAGAAATACAAGGAATCCAGATTGGTAAAGAAGAAGTTAAACTGTCACTATTTGCAGATGATATGATACTGTACATAAAAAACCCTAAAGACTCCACTCCAAAACTACTAGAACTGATATCGGAATACAGCAAAGTTGCAGGATACAAAATCAACACACAGAAATCTGTAGCTTTCCTATACACTAACAACGAATCAATAGAAAGAGAAATCAGGAAAACAATTCCATTCACCATTGCATCAAAAAGAATAAAATACCTAGGAATAAACCTAACCAAAGAAGTGAAAGACTTATACTCTGAAAACTACAAGTCACTCTTAAGAGAAATTAAAGGGGACACTAATAAATGGAAACTCATCCCATGCTCATGGCTAGGAAGAATTAATATCGTCAAAATGGCCATCCTGCCCAAAGCAATATACAAATTTGATGCAATCCCTCTCAAATTACCAGCAACATTCTTCAATGAATTGGAACAAATAATTCAAAAATTCATATGGAAACACCAAAGACCCCGAATAGCCAAAGCAATCCTGAAAAAGAAGAATAAAGTAGGGGGGATCTCACTCCCCAACTTCAAGCTCTACTACAAAGCCATAGTAATCAAGACAATTTGGTACTGGCACAAGAACAGAGCCACAGACCAGTGGAACAGATTAGAGACCCCAGAAATTAACCCAAACATATATGGTCAATTAATATTTGATAAAGGAGCCATGGACATACAATGGCAAAATGACAGTCTCTTCAACAGATGGTGCTGGCAAAACTGGACAGCTACATGTAGGAGAATGAAACTGGACCATTGTCTAACCCCATATACAAAGGTAAACTCAAAATGGATCAAAGACCTGAATGTAAGTCACGAAACCATTAAACTCTTGGAAAAAAACATAGGCAAAAACCTCTTAGACATAAACATGAGTGATCTCTTCTTGAACATATCTCCCCGGGCAAGGAAAACAACAGCAAAAATGAGCAAGTGGGACTACATTAAGCTGAAAAGCTTCTGTACAGCGAAAGACACCATCAATAGAACAAAAAGGAACCCTACAGTATGGGAGAATATATTTGAAAATGACAGATCTGATAAAGGCTTGACGTCCAGAATATATAAAGAGCTCACACGCCTCAACAAACAAAAAACAAATAACCCAATTAAAAAATGGGCAGAGGAACTGAACAGACAGTTCTCCAAAAAAGAAATACAGATGGCCAAGAGACACATGAAAAGATGCTCCACATCGCTAATTATCAGAGAAATGCAAATTAAAACTACAATGAGGTATCACCTCACACCAGTAAGGATAGCTGCCATCCAAAAGACAAACAACAACAAATGTTGGCGAGGCTGTGGAGAAAGGGGAACCCTCCTACACTGCTGGTGGGAATGTAAATTAGTTCAACCATTGTGGAAAGCAGTATGGAGGTGCATCAAAATGCTCAAAACAGACCTACCATTTGACCCAGGAATTCCACTCCTAGGAATTTACCCTAAGAACGCAGCAATCAAGTTTGAGAAAGACAGATGCACTCCTATGTTTATCGCAGCACTATTTACAATAGCCAAGAATTGGAAGCAACCTAAATGTCCATCTGTAGATGAATGGATAAAGAAGATGTGGTACATATACACAATGGAATACTACTCAGCCATAAGAAGTGGAAAAATCCAACCATTTGCAGCAACATGGATGGAGCTGGAGAGTATTATGCTCAGTGAAATAAGCCAAGCGGAGAAAGAGAAATACCAAATGATTTCACTCATCTGAGGAGTATAGGAACAAAGGAAAAACTGAAGGAACAAAACAGCAGCAGAATTACAGAACCCAAAAATGGACTAACAGGTACCAAAGGGAAAGGAACTGGGGAGGATGGGTGGGCAGGGAGGGATAAGGGGGGGGAAGAAGAAGGGGGGTATTAAGATTAGCATGCATGGGGGGGAGGGAGAAAGGGGAGGGTGGGCTGCACAACACAGAGAGGACAAGTAGTGACTCTACCACATTTTGCTAAGCTGATGGACAGTAACCGTAATGTGGTTGTTAGGGGGGACCTGATATAGGGGAGAGCATAGTAAACATAGTATTCTTCAGGTAAGTGTAGATTAAAAATTTAAAAAAAAAAAAGAAAGAAAGAAAGAAAAGGGGGATTACTCCTTAACAGGATAAAACTATTGGTAAATCAAAGATCAACGCATGCTTTAAATATCCTTAATGTTGATCACTTAAAGGGTGTCAGATGATCAGCTATGGAGGTACTCTTTTCTGATAATATTCCTTTCTCTTAATTAAAAAAAAAAAAAAAAAGCAGTTACTGTGTGCTGACCTCCAATGAGTTCTGCACAGTGGTATAGAGGGCATGTCAAAGTGTGGGCAAAGGGTCTGTTTGTTTCTACGCAGAAGATCAAGGCCTAGCTTGGATACCCAGAAAATGAACTAAGATACGATATGAGGAGGAGCTTCCGGCATCAGCACTCTCTGGAGGACTCGTGCCGGGGGATGATCATCAAAAAGCCTCCACAGGGATCCGGACGATGCTGCGGTTGTGGCTGCATCCAGCCCACCGTCTCCTGGACTTGCCATAAGAAGGAGGAGGGAGATGTCTAGGCTGGCATGTGCATACAGTGAGACAACGAATTTGACTGGATCTGTACTGTTGGAACTCAACCAGGAGTTGGGAGGGGTGCAAGTTGTAGCACCCCAAAATCTCATGACTATAGACTATCTATGGTTAAAAGAACATATGGGATGTGAACAGATCCCAGAAATGGGCTGCTTTAATTTGTCTGATGGTTCAAGTACAGTTGGAAAATATCCATCATATCATAGATAAATTTTCACAAATGCCTAGGGTGCCTAAATGGTTTTCTTGGCTTCACTGGAGATGGCTGGTAATTATAGATTTGCTTTGTTTATGTCACCGTATTCCTATTATGTTAATATGTGTGTGCAAATTAGTTAGTAGTTTAAAACCTATACATACTTAAGGTACTATACAAGAAGATATGTCAAAGAAATAATCAATCCTCCCAAGTTTCCTTCATATGCTACATCTATAGCTTTTCTTCTTCCTTCCTAATTACAACCCTTAAATAGAATTCGTGCCTCATATCGAATTTACCGAGTATCATAATTCCTCCAGGTGGTAAAGATACCTCGAGACAAGTGCTGGGCATAGAAGCCACAGGGCATAAATCTGCAAAGAAGTAAAAAGCTAACCTTTGCAAACAATATGGCTTCTCTCTCACTTACCAACTTTACATTTCCCTGTATGGCCCCGGAAGATGACTGGTTAGCCAGAGACGGGTAAGATTCCTCAAGGGAGGAACAACCTAAGACAGGCACAGTCGCAGGGGGGCCATCAGGTGAGAATTTGGGGATCAACAGAGGTGAGGCTCAGAACCTCACCCCCCCTGCTTTGAGAGAAATCTTCTGCATCCGTGGATGTCTTGCTGCCCTTGTCTAGCCTGGATTAATACTTAGTCCATAGGCACACACCTGATCATCTGATCATCTACATTTGCCTTCTTACAGCACTAAACTATGTTTTCTACCTTTATCTTGCATCTACCTACCACTTCAGCATTTTATTAAAAATAAAAATAATAATAATAATAGGAGAAATGTGGGATCAACATATAAATCAAGTACAAAAATCAAACGAATATTCATATTTGACCTGATTGTTTATAGGTCATAATGCGTGATCAAAACCGAAAGTTTCTGTGATGAATGCCCTTGTACTGTTCACCATGTAAGAATTTATTCACTATGTAAGAATTCGTTCACCATGTAAGAACTTGTTCGTTATGCTTCAGAAGATTGGAGACTGACGAGAATTAGGCTTGAGATGGATTAATGATTGTACATTGAGCGTTGACCCCCCTATACTGAATTTTATTGTTGTTAACAACCATTTGATCAATAAATATGAGAGATGCCCTCTCAAAAAAAAAAAAATGTGGCATATCATGTCAAAGTAGAACACATAATAAAAGAATACTTCATGGCATGAGGAAAATGATTACAGTCTTTTAGAAGATAAAGTTATAAAGTAGCAGAGTTTGTATGACTGCAGTTGTATAACAAAAAGTGTACATTTTTAAATAAACTTTTGTAACATTTATCCCTGCATGGTACAAGTGTGGATGATAATTTATCTTCTTTGTGCCCTTTTAGAAATTCTCCACTCATTGGTAATCAGGAGAAAAAATAGGCTGTATGTCCTTATATTTTTTACCCAAAGGCCCAGGTTCTAAATCTTTGGAATATCATAAAATAAGCTTCTCCCCACTTCTCATTTCAGAAATAAACATGTAGCAGTAAGCCCAGAATACCAGGAGCTTGGTGAGCATCCGAGTATTTTGTTCTTCACTTCCCTAAATTCTTGAGAACTACTATCATAACCTCCCTTCTCATTAAACGTTCTCTCATATGATTTCATTGAATTCCGTGTTATGAATGACACATGCTGTACCTCCAGCTTTGTCCAAGCTACCGATTGGAGGTCCTCCCGGACAGGCGTCAGTATCAACAAGAAGCAGACACATCTCTCTAAAATACGGAAAAGTATAAAAGGAATGCGAGCTCCACCATTTTGTTCTATTTTTCAGCCAATAATATCCCAGGATATATTAAAGTAGACCAGCCGTGAGTTTGAGCAGACTTCTGTCATACCCATGACATCATATTAGAACAGAGCCTCTTTTCTGATCACCGGGTCTCCAAAGGGGCTGGAATTATTGGCCCTGGAGAGAGAAAAGCAAGTATGAAACACCATTCATACAGGTGAGCTACCCATACATGCATGTACAATGTACAGCTTACAACTTTGTATATTAAAGACTTTTTTCAAGAAGAAGGTCCAGACCATGAGTGGTCAAATATAAGTAAATGGAACAAAAAACCCAGAGATCTGAACTTGTCAAACCAGAACCCTTCTTCCTACACTGGCTTTTAGGTGATGCTTGCATGGATGCTGCCTTCATTTTTTACCGATTGCATCGCCTCCTGTGAAATGCATAACTACTCACTGACTGCACATGAATTTGTTCAGGGTCTGCCCTGTTTCAGATGCCCTGGTCAGTGCTGGGATACAAAGGGGAGTTAGACTGGCCCCTAATCCTGAAGGAGTCCAATGCCAGTGGAGAAGACCAACAAGGAGACAAACTACAACATGATGAATTCCAGACCGGGAAAGAGCAGATGAACCCTGTCTAGGAAAGTCTGAGGTCCATGGCCTGTGAAGCTCCTCTCTACGTACATTCTTTTCAACTCATCCACCCTCCCACCTTTGACTTTGTGATCTGGAATGTTTGCAGAGTGGGAATGAGAGAGAATTCGACGAGGAGGAAAAGTTTGAATAAAGATTGTTTCTCATAAAGAACTCCAGGACACACCACCCCATGTGCGGCTTTGGTACATGGATGATCGAGCTGAAGGCACTGGAGGAACAGCCAGTGTGGGGAGCCCTTCTCAGAGCCCTGTACCTACCGAAAGGCAGACCCGCCAGAAGGAGCTCACTGTAGCCCGTCCCCTCCCCAGGATGGCACCAGCAGGGAACAAGTGGCACTAATCCCAGGAGAGAGACGAGAAGGCAGCACCCCACCCAGACACGCTGTCCCAAGCCAGCCGCAGGGCCCTCCAGCCTCCCGCAAGTCACTTCTCTGCACTAAGTTGGTCACACACACCCTCAACCCCCTTCCCTGTGAAGACAAACGTCAGCTCGCAAACTGCAGCCCTTCACTGAACATTCACGTTTTATCCTGTGTTGCCCCACAAACACAGAAGATCAAAAACAAGTACATTCATACAACTTGTCTGCTGCTAATCTGCCTGTTGTCGGTTTATTTCACAGACCAGCTACTGAACCAGGAGGGTTAAGGCACTATTCCTGCAGGGGAATCTCCAGGTTCAAGAATGTCTGTGACATCAGGTCACCTTTACTGCTGGCATTACCTCCTTCAAATTGCCACCAGTACTTTGTAGATTCTCTCAAATGTATAGAAGGAAGGCAGGAGAGATGGAGAGAGCCCTGGAATAGGTGTCAGGTGGCCTATATGTCACCCACTCTGCAGGTTACTGGCTCTTCAACTCTGGGCAAAGCTCATAGCCCCTCAAGGCTGCCATTTTCTCATTTATGAAAACCTAGGTGGCGAGTGGGGTAGATTTAGTCATCTCTCAAATTCTTTACTGCTGAAAAACTCCAAGAGCCAGTTCCTGAAACTCTGGGGGAAGCAAGAGACATTATCTGTTGTGTCATCTGTGCTGTGTTCATGTTGCATAGCCAGTTGGATACCTACTTGGTGGTGTTTCCCCATCTCCTTTTACTGAAATGATGTGCCCTCTGATGACTTTTTCTTCTTTTAAATAGATATGAAGGAAATATCCAATTTTTTTTCCCCTTGGTTTACAGCCATGGCTTCTTGTCCTGGAGTTTTCTGAGCCTGTGAATAATTATCTGCTTTAACTTATGGATACCCTGAAGGTAACAACTGAAATTGCTCACAATTCACTGCTGCTTGTGCTTCCCTGTGCAAAGTTCTCCTCCTCTAAAACATTCTGGAATGAGAACATTACCAGTGATACTACTTTAAATTTACACAGAAATTTCCAGTAGAATGTTGTTCTTGTGCCTTATACCAGTGACCATTCCAGGACTTAGTAGAAAAGTAAATGCCCTCAGTAATATTGGAGGGGCTTTTTAAAACAGTTTTCTTGGTTTTTACATTTCATTTTCTAACTTTTTGTGGCTAATAAATAGAAACAACTGAGTTTTGTATGTTGATCACATATCCCACAGCTTCACGTAATTCTTAATTGTCTATAAGTTCCTTTGGATTTTCTGTGTACACAATCATATTATCTGTGAATAATGCTTCTAGTTCTTCATTTTCAAACTATACATCTTTCATTAATTTTTTCCTGTTATTGCACAGACTTGAACCTCCAGTATAATGTTGAACATAAGTGGTGATAGCAAACATTGTTTCTTGTCTGACTCTAGAGGAAAAACATTCAGTATTTCACAATTCAGAATTTGGCATATTAGTCATAGGCTTTTGTATATAGTCTTATCAAATTAAGGAAGTTTTCTTCTGTTCTTACTTTACTGTTTGTCATGAATATGTATTGAATTTTACCAAGTGACTGGGCTGCACCTAATGAGATGATCCTATGGTTTTCTCCTTTATTTTGCTAGTGATTTCTTATTAAGAATTACTTTTCAAATGTTCAAGTGCCTTGGTCATGATATGTTAACTTTTTCATAAATAGCTGGATTTAATTTCCCAGTATTTTATTTTGGATTTTTGTGTTCATCAGGTATATTGGTCTGTAGTTTTCTTTCCTTATAATGTTCTTGTCAGTCTGTTATCAAAGTTATATTGGCCTCATAAAATGAATTAGGAAATATCCCTTTTCTCCTTTCTGTGAAAGAATTGTATAAGATTGCTATCATTTCTTCCTTGAATTTTTTGAAGAATTTAACAGTGAAGGCACTTGACCTGAAGTTCTTATGGAGAGACTGGTTTTAATAACAGATTTGATTTCTTTAACAGATATGATAATATTCAAATATTTCTTCTTGTATCAGTTTTGATAAACTGATTTTTTCAAAGAATTTCTCCATCTTTTTTAATCTATCAAATTAAGTTTGTTCTAATTTCCTTCTGTTATCCTTATATCTGTAGGATCTGTGGTGCTATCCCAGTTTTCTGACTGATACTGATAATTAGTGTCTTCTCTCTTTTTTTACTCATCTGTCTTATAAACATTATATTATTTTTGTTAATCTTTTCAAAAGGCCAACTTCTGATTATGTTGATTTTGCCTATTATAGATTTGTTTTTCCATTTCATTGATTTCTGCTCTTAAATATTTCTTTCCCTTTCTTTGGGTTAAATTTGGTCATATTTTTCTAGCTTTTTCAGATGGAGTTTAAATAATTAATCTTCAAATTTCTTCTACCTTATGCATTAAATCAGTAAATTATCTTCTAAGCGGACTAATAGTTACCAAAGGGAAAGGGACTGGGGACAATGGGTGGGAAGGGAGGGATAAGGGCGGGGAAAAAGAAAGAGGGCATTACAATTAGCATGTATAGTGCGTGGGGGGCACGGAGAGGGCTGTGCAACACAGAGAGGACAAGTAGTGATTTTACAGCATCTTACTACACAGATGGACGGTGACTGTGAAGGGGTATGTGGGGGGGACTTGGTGAAGGGGGGAACCTAGTATACATAATGTTCTTTCTGTAAAAATAAATAAATAAATAAGATATAAATAAATAAATAAATAAATAAACTTATCTTCTAAGCACTGCTCAAACTGCATCCTTCATATTTTGATAGATTGTATTTTGATTATTATTTCAACTCAAAGTATTTCTAATTTCCACTGTCCTTTTCTTTTGACATGTGGATTAGTTAGGAATTTGTTGCTTAATATTCAGGTTAGTTTTTATTATTGATTTCAACCTAATTCCACTGTGGTTAGAAAACATTCTCTGCATGATTTCAAACCTTTGAAGTTTGTTAAGACTTGCACTCAGTATGGCTTGGGATATAGTCTATTTTGATGACAATTCTCTGTGTGCTTGAAAATAATGTGTATTCTGCCTGTGTTGGGTGAAATGATTTATAAATGTCAATTAGGTCAGTTTAGCTGTAAATGCTGTTCAAATCTGTGTCCTTACTGATTGTGGCTGCTTATTCGATTAGTTTTTGAGACATATAATTGTAGATTTGTTTCGATTGTGATTGCAGATTTGTTTATTTCTCTTTAATTTCTGTTAAATTTTGCATTTTATATTTTGGAGATATGTTATTAGATACACATACATTTATGAATCTTCTGTCTTCCTGTTGAATTCACCTTTTTAGTAGTATGAAATGTCCCCCTTTATCACTGGTGGTAGTTTTTGCCTTTCCATCTATTTTGGGGGATATTAATTTGCAATCAACCTTATTTTGCTGGTGTTTACATAATATGTAATTTTCCATCTGTATGTCTCTACATCTGTTCACCCTTCCACCTCTGCCTTCATATTTAAAGTGTGACTCTGTGACATAGTATATAGTTGGATCTTTTAATAATCCTTGCCTTTAAGTTGTAAATTTGGTCCATTTTATTTTAATTTAATGTATGACATGACTGAGTTTATGCCTCCATCTTGCTATTTGTTTGCTACTTATGCCATCTGTTCCTTGTCCCTTTGTTTTTTTCTTTCCCACTTTCATTTGGATAAATCAAGTAAATTTATAATTCCATTGTATTTTCTCTATTATCTTCCCAGCGTCATCTTTTTGTAATTCTAATAGTTTAAATGGACACAGGTTCTAGATAGGCAAGGAATATGGTACTGAGTAAAGAGTCACATGGAAAAGCTGTATTTGTCAGAGGCATCTTGTCGGTGAGAAATCATGGAGCAGGGAGACTCAGCATCATGGGCAGCAATGTAGCAGTGATCTTTGATGAGAGGGAGAAATAAAGGCAGAAAGACTACATTCAGGCATACAACACTTTGTCTGTTATTCAGAAACATAGCCCTGACCCTTCCTCCATCGGAATCTTCTGAAATTTGCTTGTCCATAAAAAACTTAGTTAAGCAAAATTCATAATTTAAAAATGAATTAAAATAAAACCTATATAATTAAATTGCCAGAAGTACCTGATAAAGAGAAAAAAGATGGCAAATGATGAACATTAAATAGAAAAATATTGCCATGAAGCTGATGAAATTGTGATAGAGTAGATGAAAATTGAACAGACAACACTGAGTCATGAAAGCCTAATGAGTTTGTTCCCTCTATAATCCAAGAGTGCAAACAGAGGTACAAGATCTCAGGAAAGATGCCCAGACAACCTAAAGGAATGAAAGCTTAGGAAAAAATAATCCTGGAAATGAAGGCCAAACACAAGGAGACAACACAAGGAGAATGAACACTGTGAAAAAAACATAATAAAGGATATGGAGGATTGGAAAGAGAGAAACAAGAAAAAGTGAAATAAAAGTGAATAAATATTTTAATGAATTAGAAAGAATATGTTTATATGTGGAAGGCAAAGAACATTCAACATGCATAACTTTCATCCCATTGGAAGAAAAAAAACGAGGGGGAGTGTAGAACAAAAATACTTAAAGATATACAATTGGCCCTTGAACAACACTGGTTTGAACGGCATGGGTACACTTATATGTAGACTTTCTCAATAAATATATTGCATAATTTTTTGGAGATTTGCAACAATTGGAAAAAACATTTTCTTTCTAGCTACCTTTTTCTAAGACTGCAGTATGAAACACATATAACATATAAAATATGTGTAATTGACTGTTTATGTTAGCATTAAAGCTTCTGGACAATAGAAGGCTACTAGTAGTTAAGATTATGGAGAGTCAAAAGTTATATATGGATATTCAACTCTGTGGAGAGATGGTGCCCCTACCCACAAGTTGTTAAGGGTCAACTGTAATTCAAGTAAACTTCCAAAATAAAAAAGGAGGTCAATCTACAAACTACAAGGAAATCTCTTGTTCCAAAAAAGAACCCATAAAAAAGGATAAACATGAAGACATAATATCAAAATTTCTGGTCTTCGATGATCAATAATTCTTTAAGCATCTTTTAAAAATATCAAGTTATCCATAAGTAGGTGACCATATAATTTGTTTTCCTAACTGGGACAGTTATGAGAGTAACCATAGATATTATTAATAATTATATAATCAACATATACATTATTAGTCATTATAAGCATAAACTGGGGTTTTCCTCAGTAAACCATATATAAAGAATGTCATTCTACCTAAGGAGGAAAGACCCAGGCCAACCTCAGATATCTCCACAGCAGCATCCAATGAGCATTCTTAGCATCCTCAAAGAAAGTATGTGTAATCTGAGGATTTTATGCATGGCACTACAGTTCCCCTGAACAATTTTTAAAGAAGTTGCTACCGAAAGAAATTCAGCCAACTAAGAGATAGAAGAACCAAATATTAAGCACTAAGGAGCACTAAATCCATTTAACTGGATGACAAATAGAGAGAATTTACCAAACAAAATAATGACACTAAAAATCCTGAGAATATAAAAAAGAAATAACTTAGAAAAATGGTAGGCAATGTGGAAAGAAGATGGGAAATATATTTCCTTTATTCTTTTTATAACCAGAGATAAAAATCTTAAAGCTGATAATTGAGGCATAGGCATATAAAAAGATATAAAAATAAACATTAAAAGAAAACCTCATAATTAAGTAGAATTGCATGGCAGACAGGAAATTAATTCTAACATGGCTTATAGTAATGAGACAAAATATGGTATCTAAAGAAAAAATCATCTCAGTTTGGGTGCAGACAAACTGTCTATAAGAGACACACCTAAAACATACTGACCCAGAAAGATTTGTTTGTTCACTAAAAAGTATATACTGTCCTACTATGTGCCAGGTATACAGTAGATGCTAGAGAGATACCTGTGAACC